TTTTTTGTTTTAGTATTTTGAAGTTGACCAATTGTTACTATAAGCAATTAATGATTATAGATGATCTGCACCGTAGTGATTTAACAGTTTTGGATTTTAGAAATGTTTCTGGATTCAAATCAAAAAATTAAAACATCAAATTCAATCAAATAACGCTAAAATAGGACATACATATTGGAAATTAATGTGGCCGTCCCATATCAATAAGGTTTCTTGGTGGTGTGGAACAACCATCCTATCCTCATCTTTTATACAATGATATATATGTAATGTAATGAATAAGTTGAGCAATATGTTACATTTGATAATGGTTGGGGAATCCTCTGGAACATGGCTCTCCATTTGGTCATTGACCTCCACACACCTGATTACAATGATGGATTTTAAATTTAATGACCAATTCATCTGACACCTTTTCTGTAACAGGGTCAGGGATGTTGGTACGGATTGTATTTTAAAGAGATCAATTCACTTGCCTTTCTTTCTGTGTTAAGCAAAGCCATGTGTGTGAATTGTCCCATAAATTGGAACTCATCCTTTTCAAAGTAATGTTGCTTGCCAAAACCTCTTTGTCGAAACTCTAATGAACAATTAATATATACCTTGTCAAGGGTCTGATTCATTTCGTCGACAGTCATTTCGTCGACACCTATTTCATCGAAAGTTCATTTCATTGAATGTTCATTTCGTCGAAAATTATTTCGTCACAAAAAAAAAACTTCATCAAACAAATTTCTCCTCACACTTCCCACACACCCCGCTTTCTTCACTTAATTTCTTAACTAACTTCCCACAATCCTTACATCTAACTCGTTCGGTCTCTGGCTCGAGGATGAAATAATTTTCGACGAAATGAACATTCAACGAAACAAACATTCGACGAAATGAACTTTCGACGAAACGAACTTTCGACGAAACAAACTTTCGACGAAATGGGTGTCGACGAAATGATTGTCGACGAAATAATTTTCGACGAAGTAAACGCGACCGGAATAAATAAAAGAGTGACAGCAATATATTTTATTATTACGTAAGCATGGGTGTATTCCAAATCCATTGAAATTGATTGTAAATTATTGTTGGCTTGTCGTATATCACAAAAACAATTACATTAATACCTTTAGGAACTATGTTTTTAAATATTGTGCAAAATGGTCGAAAACATAGCAATTATAATAATTTAATGATAATTATTATATTTACATTTTGATATTTACAAATTTTTAATAGTTTTTTCAACCACATCTTGGTTAATTTTCAAAATGAAAATCTTTTGAGCGAATGGCTTAAGCTTAAGCTTAATACCCTGTTCCAAATTTGTGCTAGTAATAGCCTGGATCTTGTATAATATTAATTAAAACATCAAGCCTATTTATTGCCCGAGTGAACAATTATAATTTGAACTATTATATCACAACTACAACATTCTCCTAATAGCAATAATAATAAAAAAAGTGATCAATTAAATGATCAATTAACCTTTTATTACCGTTTTATGAAAAGTAATACTTAATCATCACCCTTATTATTATCTAATAATTCGGATAATTGACCAAACTGAAATAAAACTCTACTGACTTATTTTTTTATGCTAGCCTAGCCACCTTCTACCAACAAACAATTCATCCTATGCAGGAGAAAAAGTGTAAATTTGATTGCATTAATGGTTACACTTCTTGTAAATATAGATTTGTTTGTAGATTACTACTATATATAATAAATATATAATAATAAATCAAATAATTTATGGCATCCTCTTCCACCGCTTCTGTTGAACCTGATAGACATGCCAAAGCTTTACAAGATTATCGCAAGAAATTACTTGAACATCGTGAAGTTGAAGCAAATATTAAAGAACGTGAGTGAATTTAGTTGATTAACAAATAAATCAAATTTTCATTACTATTACACTTTTAAAGAGAATCACTAAAATTTTTTTGTTGTGATAATTTTGAAACAATATCACTTTATAATAATGAATAAAAAATTTTTTGTTAATTGCATCCTCAGTTCGCCTTGGTTTTCGCGATCTTGAAAAGCAATATAATAAAACAGAAGATGATATCAAAGCATTGCAGAGTGTTGGACAAATCATTGGTGAAGTTTTAAAGCAATTGGATGAAGAACGATGTAAGTTATTAAAAGATCCTTAAATTAAATTATTTATTAATATTCTTAAATTGTTTAATCTAAAAAAATCATCATTAAAGTTATTGTAAAGGCTTCATATGGTCCAAGATATGTTGTGGGATGCAGAAACAAAGTTGATAAAGAGAAACTTAAACAAGGAACGAGGGTGGCTTTGGATATGACAACCTTAACCATTATGCGTATGCTACCAAGAGAAGTTGATCCATTAGTTTATAATATGAGTTTAGAAGATCCCGGCAAAGTAAATTTTGCAGGTATTGGTGGTCTTGGTGAACAAATACGGGAACTTCGAGAAGTGTGTCTTTTTTTTAATTTCAATGTATAATAAATTAATCAATTAAATAGTATGAAATCAAACTTTGCCTACCATATTTCTTATTCATATCAGGTAATAGAGCTGCCACTTATGAATCCAGAGCTTTTTATTCGTGTAGGAATCAAACCACCAAAGGGAGTTTTACTATATGGGCCACCTGGTACTGGTAAAACACTTTTAGCTCGTGCGGTAGCTAGCACTCTTGAAACCAATTTTTTAAAAGTAGTTTCAAGTGCTATCGTAGATAAATATATTGGTGAAAGTGCCAGGTTAATTAGGGAAATGTTTGGATATGCTAAAGATCACGAGCCTTGTATCATTTTTATGGATGAAATTGATGCAATTGGAGGAAGACGATTTTCAGAAGGAACCAGTGCAGATCGTGAAATACAAAGGACTCTAATGGAGGTAGATTTGAATCTCAAAGAAAAAATATCTTGATATGTTTAAATCTTAATTGCTAAAAGGTATTATTTTAACAACCAGGTATTTATTATTATTATTTTTAGCTTCTTAATCAAATGGATGGATTTGATTACCTAGGACAAACTAAATTAATTATGGCCACCAATAGACCTGATACTTTAGATCCAGCACTGCTTCGGCCTGGACGTTTAGACAGAAAGATAGAGATCCCTTTGCCAAATGAACAAGGGCGTCTTGAAATTTTAAAAATTCATTCAGCTCCTATCACCAAAAGTGGTGAAATTGGTACGTCCTTAATATATTATTTATTGTATTTGATATTTGGTTGATATATGGTAATTTTTATTATTATTTAAATATCATTAGATTATGAAGCTATTGTAAAGCTAACAGATAGTTTCAATGGTGCAGATTTACGAAATGTTTGCACAGAAGCAGGTTGGTCAGAAAGAAGCTTATGTATAATATGACTTTAGTTATATATATATTTATATGTGTTTTATAGTTAATGTTGTGTGCTTTTAGGTATGTTTGCAATTCGTGAAGAACGAGATTATGTGGTTCATGAAGATTTTATGAAAGCAGCACGTAAAGTTGGAGATGCAAAGAAATTAGAATCTAAATTAGACTATGAAAAATTATAATTTTTGCCATGAGAGTTTCAAATATATCAAATTTTTTAATAAAAAAAGTTGGGCTGTTTATCAATTGAGATTATGAACAACAACAACAATAATAACCATCGCATGAATGATGCGTATCAGCGGATTTGGTCTCTTGGGTCATAAAAGGGTTCTTAATTATTCAAGTTGCCTAAATTTAATTTAAAAAATTAAATATACTCTTTCACTACTAACCAAAGTAGATTTAACAGAAGGTTAGCAATTATAGAAATGACAATCTGTATGTTATTTAGATAAAGACTTTCTCTTTCAGATAAAAATGCTGATTCAAATTCTTCTATATACATTAATCCATCCTAAATTAAAGAACATTTAAAAGAACATTTTTCAATAATTATTAATAAAATGTAGAAGCAGATAAAATATAGTTTTTATTAATGAAAGATTTTAATTATTTATTTGATCATTTAAGAGTCTTTATCAACAACATCATCACTAAATACAAATGGTAAATATGTTTCTTACAAAGGTTCCACTAAATATATCATTGAGATATCAATAATTATGATAATGTTTTACATAGTATTAAATAATAATAAGAGGCCAATATCACCATTTATACAACAGCAACAAAAACGAACATATAAAGAACCAATTTGTCGTCAATGTGGCAAAAGTAAATCTAAAGATAAAAAAGAATACCTATTAAAAAGATATTGTTCTGATGGTGTGTCAAGTACAAAAATATTGTTACATTTTCTCACATTTGTGAACAAAAACCATTGTAGTGTAAGGGAATTAAAAAATAAATAAAATAAAATGTTGTTATTTTTAAAATCGAGATATTTACGTAAAAATCTGCAGGTTTTTGAGCCGCAGTCATCTTTGGCAACTCACACACTTAACATCAACACGCGATTTATACTTTCCTTAAAATCCTATTAAAGTTCTTAAAAATGATGCAACCAAACTATAGAACTAATCCAGACACCTGTAAAGAACAGTATTCGAAATTAAGAAATTTCATTGAAAATTCTTTAGATAAATTCAAGGTTCAAAAAGTTCAAAAAGTTTTTTTACAGTATTATTTAGTTATTAAATGTTATAAATCTAATAGACATATATACACACAATTTTATTGTTGCCATTAGGGTGAACTACAAAAAGTCCTTTGGCCTCTTTTTGTACATTTTTATCTTGATGTTGTTTCAAAAGGATTTTTAAATCAAGGTTGGTTGATTTTAGTCTATCTAAAAGATTGCAGTTACTTTTGTTTGTTTGTTGGATCTATTTTCCACAACCATACCTTTAATTGATTGAATACATATTAGCAATGGATTTTTTCAATATTTATCAGCTGGATCATGAAATACATTTGAATGAAATAAACAAGATGAAATTTATAACACAACCACAACATATTCAAGAAAATGAATTTGTTCAAAACTTTCGTTCAAAGAAATATACTGTTCCGATGTCTAAAATTTCATACGAGATATTAATTCATTTTTTACAAGACAACACTTTTCTATTAACAATGGTAAATCAATACATTAATATTGAAGGTAATTTGATTGATTGATTAGCTGATTTTAAGAGACTTACATATTAAAATTTAATTGAAAGTTTATTTATTTCAGTGGTAGAAGATATTGGCCCATCACATACAGATATTGGGATCCCTGGCTTTTCATCACAAGAATTAGAAGATTTTAATAAGCAGGAGCTTCAGTTAGGATTCATGCCAATGGAACCAGCATTTCGTGATGAGGTTGAAAAAAGATTAAAGGAAGGGGATGAACATCAAAGGACTCAGATTGGAAATGAGGTATAATAATAAGTTAATGGAAAATAGTAAATGGATATATTGTATAATTGCATATATAATTATATGCCTCCATTCCATATCACTGATTAGATTAATGGTCTTACAAACTCTGCACCTTCACTATATCAAGAATTTTTGAATAAAAAAATCAAAAGAGAACAAACTATTGACTCACTGCCTAGATCATCAATTCCATTACCACCATAGTATGTTTTAATTAATTTGATTGCATGAAATTTATCATCGACTTATATATATAAATAATATTCTGACATGAAAGACATTCAGTAAGGGAGCTGATGTACAAGCACAAGTTGATCTTGTGAGAGATTTGACACATCGAATAAGTTTAGGTCCTGCAAGTCTTCCCTCTGTATGTTTTTATACATTTTACAATACATATAATAGGTATGGATTAATGAATGAATTTTCTTAAAGTATTTTTGCGTGTGCAAATTCTCCAAGATATTTAAAAATTTTTTTTCCAATTAGTCTTAATTGTTTATCCATATCTGAAGATGCAACCCTTATAGCTGGAGGTTTTGCAGAATCTTATGTCAATATATGGAGTTTAAAACGCGAAAAATTAAGAGGATTTCAAGGTCATGTTAATACATCTGAAGTGAATAATTGTAAGTATTTATTAATTATATAGGTTTTTTTTAAAAAAACTATTAAACAATTGTACTTATCTTATAGCTAATGAACATTCTTTTTTTTATTTATTTTTAACAAATTATTACTAATAATAATAATAATAATAATCATAATCAATAAAGCAGTTGACCTTGAAAATGCCAAAGAAAAAATAGGAAGTGATTGCAAGAAACTTTGTGGACATTCTGGTCCGATATTTGGACTAAGTTTTAGTCCAGACAATAAATACTTACTTAGTTGCTCAGAAGATAGCACAGGTAAATTATTTTGAACGTATAATAATGAACAAATTTTTCAATTAATTAAAATCCTTGGTATTTTTTGTTTATAATCATTAAATGATGATGAAAAGCTCGACTTTGGAGTACAGATCTTTATACAAATCTTGTATGTTATAGAGGTCATAACTTACCTATTTGGGACATACAGTTTAGTCCTTATGGGTTCTATTTTGTTACTGCATCTAATGATAGAACTGCTAGACTTTGGAGTTGTGATCATATTTATGCTTTAAGAATTTTTGCTGGACATATATCAGACGTAGACGTAAATAGAGAAAATAAAATAATGATAATGATAATAATAATACTATTATTCTTGAAAAAAAAAAAAGTTTTAATTAATAATATTTTTATTTATTTTAAAAGACTGTTAAATTTCATCCAAATTCAAAATATATCTTTACGGGATCTAATGATAAGTCAATTCGTATGTGGGACGTCAGTAGTGGATCTTGTTTTAGAATTTTTTCTGGCCACACTGGAGGAGTTACATGTTTAGCTGTATCTGACGATGGTCGATTGTTAGCTTCTTCTGGTAACAATTCATTCAATTATCAGTAATAAAATGAACCAAATCAATTGATCAGTTTCACTAATTATTTGAATATAGGTGATGATAAATCGGTGATGTTATGGGATATTGGAAGCGGAAAATGTTTTAAAAAATTAATTGGACATACAGAAATTGTTTATTCTTTAGATTTTAGTAAGGAAAGTAGTATTTTAGTTTCTGGTAGTGCAGATAAAACTGTTCGTATTTGGGATGTTCGAAAAAATGATTCTGTTGATGGTGATCATTCATCATCATCACCAACGACAACAAAAAATAATGTTGAGGATGTAAACAATATTCCTTTTCTGAATAGAAAACCTAAAGTAACTAATGTAAAAGCATCAAAGTAATAATAATAACAACCTTTTTTTTATATTTATATAATAACTATGGAATGGATTGTAAGATTAATATTTTATTTATTATAGGGATTTATTAACTACATTATATACTAAAAATACACCAGTTTACGAAATTAAATTTACAAGAAGAAATTTATGTCTTGCCACTGGTGCTTATAAGCCAACAGCCGAGGATCAAAAACAAAAAAAAAGTTAAAGTATTTATAGATTTATTATTATTATTATCATTATTAAACATTTTATCCATAAATTTCTTTGATAAATAAATAAATAAAATATATACTATATTAATGTTTTGTTAAAGATCTTAATTCTTTATAAACAACATTATAAATGCTATCAACAAGTTTAATGACATTATTATTACCATCTACATGAATCATCCTACCTTTCATTGGAATCAACCACTTAAAACCTTTTTATCAAAATCTAATCCAATTTAGCTAACACATTCAACCATCTTATTGAAAGTGCTAAATACTGATTTATGAGCAATGTCAATTTATTCTCTGGAATTCTAATACCTAGTGTGATTATTGTATACTAAAGAAATTATAAACATTATCTTATGATAGCATAACATTTTATTTATTTTATTATCTTCATTGACCAGCCATGTTTTGCAAAATAAATTGTTACAAGAGTCCTCCAACTACAACAGCAGCGTTATTATTTTATTATGGTCATGATAATCAACACGTCATTTTTAAATTTATTAATAAAATTCATCATTTGCTAATAATATTTAAAAAAGCTCTTTCCAAAATATATAATGCTAAAATATATAATTTATTAATTAAAAATTATTATCAACGGTTCAAAATCTTCTGAATAATAAAAAACAACAAGAAGATTTATAAATGTATATATACGTTATATACTTCTTATTATTTTATTTGATCTCTCTACCAGCTAATTTTCTTCATTTAGTCATCATTGCTTTAGATTTAGTACACACAATACCACCACCTCATTGTTTTCTGATATTCACGGTAGCTAACAGTGTTTTCATGAACAACAATTCCCAAATGAGCCTTTCTTTGACAATTACATAAGGAGCTTCCATTTTACGACTAAGGGCTGGTAACCAAAAAACAATCTCAATAGGGTCAACATCATGAGCAATTATCACCAATTTAGGCCTTTTGTTTTCAATCAAAGCAGTAACATGATTGATACCATATTAACAACATATAGTTTTTTAGCTCCAAGCTCCTTTTTTGTAGCTTTGGCAGCACCCAATCCAGTAAGACATTCTTTCTTTTGAATTTTAGTTTCAGGGCAATATTTGTTTAGCAATTTAAAAGGATTGCCGACAGTGTTTTTATCCAAGGTTTTGGTGAATTGATTGATAGCTGTGGAACCTTAATATTAAGATGTTGTTTAAGAATTTTACATTGTCTTTGTAGGTGAATAGATTCAGGTCATTTAACAAAACGAGTTAAATCACGTTTAGGTTGAATATCTTAACGTGTGTTATAATAAAATAAAATAAAAATTCTAATAATTAATTAATTAAATTTCTAAAAAAAAGGAACAGACCTATTCCAAAATTACGAGGTCTTTTTTTAATAAAGGATTCTTTGCGAATCTTTTTTCGCAGGGTACTACATTTTTAGAACCTTTAGCCTTTGGCTATTTTATAAATTGGTCATTGAGCAGAACATTTCTGTAAGTCTAAATTTTTGTAATATATATACATACAAGTTTTTTAAAAAGAAAAACAAGCATATTAGTATATCATTTTGACATTGCATGGATGAAATTTTTTGGGAACCGTTACACGAATTCCGAATTAATTAATATGATTGTTTTTCATGTTACACTATATTTATCAAATCAATGTCAAAAAAGAGTAGTATCAAGAAATTCAAGTTAGTTCATATTGAAAATTCAGACGGTGATCCATCCAAATGGCCTGACACAACTACAAAAAAAATAGTTGATGGTACTCATATAAAAATATTTTATGAATTGGATGAAAATTCCCATGCATATGGTGCTTGGATGGAAATACTTGGTAAAGCCATTGCTAAAGAAATAAAATTGAAAGGTGAGATGAAAAAAATCATTTAAAGCTTTTTTTCCTGTTAATAATTTATATTATTTATTATTCATATTTAGAAAATTTGGTGCTGGAACAAATGCCATATGGATATAAACTATTTGTTCAATACAAATATTCAAAAAGAATAACACCAAAAGAATTACCCATGAGTTGTCGTACCATAAAAGACGGCGAAGAGTGTACAGAAAGAACTGATATATTTGTTTATGGTATATATATGTATATGTATATATGTGTTATATATGTATATGTATATGTAATAGTAATAACATATATAATTATACATTTTAAATAATTATTAGGTGATCCTAGAGGTGCTAGATTTAGATCAAAAAACGACTTTGTACCACATTGCGTGTGGCTTTATTTTAATAAAAAAGATAGTTGTAAATGTAATCATTGTGATAAAGAATCCCATGAAAAACGCAAAGAAGCTATAAGAGCAAGTAGATCATTGGTTCGGCTTAGTAAACAACAGATTGATACAAAGGTTCCTAAGAAAGTTAAAAAAATTAATGAAAATATTGACAATAACACATTATCTATTATAAATAATTCAAAATATCAACGTGGAGAGATTATTTGGGTTTCAGATACAACGCTAACATTTAAATTGTCTTCACGGGATCAAAGAGATAATAATAATAATGAGATGGAGGAAATCTTTTGGCCTGGAGTAATTGTTGAAGTTGGACCAAATCTAATTCAAAAAAATTATAATGTTTATTCTACTGGATTTTTAAAGCCATCATCAATCAAAAATCAATTGGATAATTATAGGTATTTGATAAAGCTTTTGATCATAAATAAATGTTACGAGTATCCAACATTTGCTTTATCACCATGGCTCTCAATTGATCACGAAGAATTAGCATTTAAATATTCAAATGAAATTTATTTACCACAATTTTTGAAAGCAATACAAATTGCCTCTAATGTTCAAAAACATTATATAATGGGATCAGTTTATAATTACATTGTTAATCATAAAGAAATAAATTCAATTAAAGATCCTATTCAAAAACAACGAATTATTAATGCAAAAAATTATCCACACTATAGTGAGCTATGGTTTGGAACTGAAAAAATCAAAATTTATGATTTTTTAAGATTGACCATGGATGATGATGATAATGATGATTCAAAAAAGGAATATTTTAGAATCACATCAATTTATAGGTTGCCAGATAAACGGATTCAATTCACAGGAGATATTTATACACTTAAAAATTCAGATATGATAAATGATGATGATGATGATGATGATGATATAGCTAATATAGTTAAAATTAAAAATAAAATGCACAGAAATTTAAAAATTAGAGATGATGAATATATATCAAAGAATTATATTCAGGAAGAGTACACTGTTGATTTAGAGGATATTGCTGGGCGGTTTTATCCAAATATGGATTTATTCAATAAAAAAATGAATGTCAAAGAAGAGAAGACTTCAAGAGAGGAATTATTTGATCTAGCAATTGATCAATTTGTTGATAATGAATCTTCTTCTTCTTCAAGTAAAATAGATAATAAATGTTTTATGGATAATGTTTTGTCTAATAAACAATCAGTGGCATCAACTGATGCTGCTCAGATTTATAAAAGTGAGGATGATGAAGATGCCACTATAACTGATGATGATAATAACAGTACAAATGATAAAACTGTTATAAAAGAGTCACTACAAGAATGTCAAAGTTATAAATCAGAAGAAAATGAGATGATTATTGATAATTGATTCTATAGATGTATGTGTCTAAATAATTTATAAGTTTAGATAATAAAATTTTTCATTTATTTATTCTTTCTCTTGTTTAATAATATAAATGATATAAAACAGTTTCCAAAAAAAATTCTTATGATAATAAGCGTGATGGATGATAAATAATTTTAGAAATATATTTTTATTATTTTTATTGATATAAAAAGAAATTTGATCTGATGATTTTTAATTTCAATAGATCTTTTTAAAAAAAGATGTATAAATCATATTTAAACAAAAACTTTTATTCAAAATTAAAATATCATTTAAACTCGAAACTTAATTATCATTCTGTTCGTTTATTTTAATTAACTGAATATATATTATTATGATGTTATCACTAACATATTTTAACTTTCGAATAATAAAAGAAATCAACTCAAAAATGTTTATCAAAAATTTTTATGCCAACCATTAAAGAAACTTCCAAGTCACATAGTAAAGAAGAAGAAAGTTTGACTAGCTCTTCAGGAGAGAGTTATCGTTTAATGACTCGAGCTGGTTTTATTAGACAAGTATATTTTCATGTTCAAATTAGTATCAATTAATGTATCAATAATGAACAAAATAAACATTCTTAAATGTATTATTAGTCGTCTTCAGGTATTTATACCTTATTACCATTAGCATTGCGTTCACTTGAAAAAATAGAGAGAATCATTGACATTGAGCTAGAGAATATTGGTATGAGAACAAAAATATTGGATCTTTGAATATGAAGAATATATTATGAATTTTATCCTGATTAGTGTATTTTCCTTTATAAGGAGCGCAAAAGTTATCCCTTCCTATTTTGCTTAGTTCTAATGGATGGAAGAAGACACGAAGATGGGAGTCTTCTGGAGAAGAGGTTAAAAATATTTGATTAATTAACTATACCACCTACATTTACATACTTCAAATTTATGTAACGTTTTATTTATGATAAAAAAAATACAAGTTATTTCGTCTTAAAGATAGAAAAAAATCTGAATTTTGTCTGGCACCAACACATGAAGAAGAAATTACTCAATTAATTGCCAATGAAATAACTTCGTATAGACAACTTCCATTGCGATTATACCAAATTGGTAATAAAAATAATTTTTAATTTAAAAAGATTTTCTTTTTAAATAATTTTCTTCTTGTTTTATTATTATAGGAAGAAAATATCGTGATGAAATGCGTCCTCGATTAGGATTACTTCGAGGACGAGAATTTATAATGAAAGATTTATATACTTTTGATACTACTGAGGAACTGGCTTTGCAAACTTATCAAGAAGTTATATTGGCATATAAGAAAATATTTGAAAAAATAGGAATCCCATTTTCTATTGTAAGTATTGGATAATATCTAATTATATGTCAATACATTATCCACATAAATAATCTGTTATGACTTTTTAATTATTACAAATAATTCCAGGCCAAAGCAGATTCTGGTAATATAGGAGGAACCCTATCACATGAATTTCATTTTTTGTCTGAAGGTAAATATTTAAGCATGAATATTAAATAATAATAAATATGTATTTATTTTTTATTTTTTTTATTTTTTTATAGTTGGTGAAGATTTTATTTTGTCATGTTCAAAATGTGGATATAATGAAAATGTTGATATTAATAATAACTTTAAAGAAAAGATTAATATGTTGCCAAATATTCATCATGGAGATTATCATAATACTTCAATAGGTGGTGGTTGTCCTGTATGTGCAAAAGGAGATGAAAATAATTTTGTTCCACTTACTGTTCATCGAGCAATTGAAGTTGGGCATTCTTTTTTCCTAGGAACAAAATATTCAGAACCTTTAAAAGCAACTTTTGCCCCCCAAAATCCCAAAGTACCAGGTGAATTGTTACCAATTCAAATGGGATGTTATGGATTGGGAACTTCTAGAATGCTTGCAGCAATTATTGAATCATCACATGATAAAAATGGAATAATATGGCCTATTTCAGTCGCTCCTTATAGAGTATGTATTATTCCGGGATCTGATGAACCCTCAATACAAAGTACAACATCAGAGCTGTATGATATTTTAAATTGTAAATTTGAAATATTAAAAGATGAAATTGTAATTGATGATCGAACAAATTTGTCTTTGGGTTATCGTATGAAAGATGCAGAACTTATTGGATATCCTTGGGTTATGGTATTAGGAAAAAAATTTTTAGAAAATGGGAAAATTGAAATACAAGTAAGACAAAGCAAAGCAAAAAATTATTTGAGTGTTCAAGATTTAGATAAAATCCAATTCCAATGATAATATTTTATTCGTTATTTTCATTAAAAACTATATATTAGTAATAAATTGTTAGTTGATGGTTATTTATCAAATTGATAATGGTAATAGATAATTAATAATATAATAATAATACACAAGTTTGGTAAGATTATACAAGATTTTCTTTTCCCTAATACTAATTTAAATTTAGAAAAGATGTTTCCGTAATTTCCTTTAATAATTCCCATATGAGCAAAATAGTTTTGATCCGAGTCTCCATGTTCCCAGTATTTTTCATTTTCTAATGACATTGTCATTAGCCTAAAAAAAAAAACAAAACGACGAATGATTAACGATCATAATCTAAATAATTATATATAAAATTTCAATAAACAAATAAAAAAATTTGGCCAGGTTCGAGAAATCGAATAGCAACTTTGATAAATTTACTAATGAATTAGATTAAATTATGATACTCAACCATTAAATATGCTCATCAACAAGATATTGTACTTATTGTAGTGCCTGATCGGTTGCGGATATATAAATCAGGACTTAATAATGAAGCTTCTCTTTCGCCCAAGCTCATTAACACAAAGCTTTCTAAATTTCGTTGAGAAATTTTTTGGTGGCAAATCTGATACGGTGCAGATCATTTATAATCATTAATTGCATACGTAGTAACAATTGGTCAACTTTAAAATACCAAAACAAAAATTTAACCGATAAGTTTTATTGTTCATGACTCAAACTTCAAAACTTATTATTATCGGCTGATTTTTTTTTAAACTGAAAATTGGCAGAGCTTAGCATTTTGAAAATTCCGAATTTTGTTATACACTTAAGAAATTGAGACTAAGTGGCAGAAAATTTAATACATTATCACTTTTTTCACAATATGGTCTGTTTCCATTGAAAGGCCCTCACATATTCACATATTCAGTCCGATGGGTGTTTTATAAGCATCCGAAATTCTGGTCCGTCAGGCACCTTGGGATCAAGATGTTAATGCTGCCCATAATGTTATAAATTTTTGCACATGAACACTTGTAATGGAAAGAGATCTGAACCATTCATTTAGTGGTAGCAGCACTTCCACAAAACCTCCTCAATTTTAATTTTCTTTTCCTGATTTAGTGTAGCAAGTCATGGGTTACACTTAATATTAAAAAATCCGAAATATTTAGTTTTTTAATTTCCCGTCCTTAACAAATAAAGTTTTCTCTTTATTTTCCCTATATTGATAGATTTAATTGAACATGTCAACAGAAGGAAGAAAGATTTCATCAAAGGTTAATAATTAGATCAATTATTTCATTTAATTGTTTTTTATAAGTTCTAAAATCAAAAGTTGGTTGTTTTTATCCTATAGCTTGACGATAAACGTTTATACATTGGAAATCTTGATCCTTCAATAGACGAGTGAGTCAACAAATAATATTCATTTGTCTCTTTTTTTTATATAATAATTATATATTTTTTGTTAAAATATATATAGGTATGCATTGGTTAAACTATTTGAACCTTTTGGAAAGATAACAAATTTAGATTTTCTTTTTCATAAAAATGGACCTAAACGTGGTCTACCAAGAGGTTATTGTTTTTTAGAGTACAATAAGAAAGAGGTATTGATTTTTCTAAATGAAAACTTTTTATGATTTATTAAACCATTATAATAAAATTGGCTGTGTAAAAAAAATCTAGGAAGCGTTAAAAGCAATGACAGAAATGCACTCAAAATTAATAAAGAATCGATCAATAACTGTAACATTTGCTTATGCTGCACCTGAAAGTTATTATGATAGTAAAACAGGTACAATGAAGAAAAGATCAAATATAACTACAATTTCATTGATAAAGGCACATAACATGCTTAATGCTAGGTAGGCAATGATTTTTTTTACAAAATTTATTTATTTATTTATTTATTAAATTTGAATAATCTTGATAAAAATATATAATAAAAGTACGGACGCAAAAATAGTTGCATTAGAGAAGAAATTGGCACAAATGAAACAACAATCTTTACCTCAACAGAGACAGCCACAACAACAAAAACTACAATTATCATCGTCATCGTCATCATCACCACTATCATTGTTGCCATCTAAGCCCTCATCTACAAATATATCGAAAGAATCAACAATAATAAAATCAATATCGTCTTCAACACGTTCATCAACCTCCAAGGTCTCCAATGAACTTAGATACAAACCTTATTAAAAAAAGTTTTTATTATTGGTATTAATTTATTTATAGAATATTATTAATACTAATTTACAATAAAACTATTATAAAATTTAGATAATTAGACTTGAAAAAAAAAAGTTTTTAACTATTATTTGTAAAAATTTGCTTTTAGGATTACAATTTTTCAAATATAAAAGAAATTCATTCTTTTTACAACATGCAATTATGTATATATTCTTGTGGATACTACGAGTTTATCCTAGAATTTTCAAAATCATCATCAACACCAATAACATTATTCAATAAATGAATATGCAAATATTCCAGTTCTTTTTGTGAGTTTTGCTGAAGACAAGTATATAGTGTAGTATAATAGACAATACAGAAGATAGAGTCTATGACATTGAAGATCCTTCATTATCATATATATATATATATATATCTGTTAGAAAAAAAAAATACTAAAGTAAGGATGTTGTTAAAAGTTTGATTAAAATTGCCTTTTCTAATCAATAATGAATAATATATATAGCATACATTTTTTTGCAATATCAAATTTTTATCAATTATAATTAATAAAAATCAAATAAAAGAAAGATAATTAAAATGATTACATATATATGTATGTATATATATATAATTTTTTAAGAAAACCCAAAGCCAAGATATTAATAAAAAAATATTATATTAAAGCATCAACTTGAAATGTCTTTCTTTCTATATATATATAACTTGATAAATAAATATGAGAAGATGATTGATAAGTTTGTCCATAAATATTTGAAATAACATCAACATTGATTTTCCTTGTTCTAATCAATGTCAGTGATTAAAATTAGGATCAATTATTTTTTTTGGCCCATTTTTAATAATTAGATTCGATGACTATGGTTCTTACTTGTGATATTGCTTCTATATTTTTAGCTCACTATTTTTTCTAAATTATTTCCTCTTTAATAGGCGATGGTTAATTAGATTTCATCGCAGAAGAGAAAGCTGTTAAGAATGATGGTGATGATGATGATAATTTATTATCTAAACTATCATGAGGTCTTTTTCTAGATCCTGGTTTTTTTAAAGCATCAAGAGGATTTGGTAATGGATAATAAGTCGTAATCCTTCCCATAATTTTATCAATAGTGTTTAGTGATGGTTGAGCACTTGGTTTTATACTTGAATATATTGTTTGATTTTTTATATAGATTAACTAATAAAAGGCCACCTTATCCAATATAGTAAATATTTTATTTACACGTTTTTCAGGTGTATCTGGTAATCTTACCATACCCTCAACCATTTTATAAACAGACTTAACAACTTTTGACATTTCTTCATATGTTATATATCCATCACTATCAAGATCATATATTTTAAATGCCCCTATGTAATTTATTATATATAGTGATATCATTAGATGAATATTGTACAAATGAATTCAATAAATATTGAAAAAATATATATAATTACACAAAAATACATGATAATTTTTCATCCAATTCTTCTCTTGAAGTCACTGATACTACACATATAAATTCTTTGAAACCAAATTTTTCCATTTTTATTTTTATCATATGCATTAAAAACATAATCTGCAAACTTTGAGGGATCACCATGTGGAAAGAATTGTTTTATGGTTTTTTAAAATTATTTTCTGCTAAGTTCACCCTTGGGACAATCCTTGAGAAATCCTTTGTACCTTTTACAATGACAATAATAATAATTATTGTTAAATGAATTATTTTATTTGGTTAAATGATTGATTAATTTACCATTGTTGAAGTTCGGTTTTTGTAACTTTATAAATAATAAAAAAGATTTTATTTAATTATATATATAGTCGGATTGTAAAAAAACAAAGTTGAATTGAATACATCTAATCCTTCATATGTCAGATTCCAGGTGTGGTTATTATGTAAGTTTCTGAGAAACCGTTTTTTTTTGGCAAACTATTGTTTTTCAGAAGATTTTTGATCGAACTTTTATTTTTTTAAAATGTTATTCTCCTAGATGTTGAAAATTCGCATACATATTTCTAGAACCTTAATTACGACTGCTAAAAATTATTTTTATTTTTATTATGTACGTTTTTGTGCAATTAGTTGTTTTGTGGTGACCGAAACTTTTGTCCAGGAAGTGTATACTCAAAAAAAAAAAAAAAAGCTAATTTACCAGTTCAACTATAATTGTCCGAGGCCCTAACACAGGTGAAAAAATCAATTTTACCTAGGTTAAACATGCGAGGTCAAATTTTTGATTTTAACCGTTGTTGAATATTTACGAATGTTTGTCTTTTCTCTTTTCATTGACTCGTAAGCAGCTGCACAATTTTTTATCGACTTTTTTTTGAAAAAGAGGAATGGCATTATCTAACAAAAAAGTGCGGCTTTGTTTATTAAATATTTAGAAACAGCTTCAAAAGCTATGATTTTCAAAGCAACTGTTTTAATTACCAGATTATAAGAAAATTCCGCATAAAATATTTTTAAAAGAAATTTTATTTACGAGCGCGCGTGACATAAATGGTACTTATCCTTGTGGTTACACTCGTACATACACCATAAATATCCGACCACCTGATGATCATTTTAATAATCGGAAATGTTGCGCCTTATGCAGTTCAAAATTTTATTAATCAAACATGATTTTTAAAGTTAATTTGCATATAAACTTAAAGTCTCGTCGAGTTTGCATTATTGATGAATTTAGGGATTTTTATGAAAACTTTGAGCTTAGTAAAAACCTTCAAAGCTCAGTTGAATCATGGATTACGTCATTAAGTCCACTTAAAATACCTTGAATTATATATGGTTAAAATTTGAGAAAATTTGATCAAGTATAGACAACAAAACGTAAAGCCTTAAAATTTGCATTTTGTCAACTTTATTATGATAAAATTACGGGGTGGTCGGATACTTTTTTAAACCTTTTGTATATATATATATATTACTTTCATGTATATGTGATTTTTTATCCATCAAATATTTTAGTAAACAGTGGAAGTAAAAATTCAATAAAAAAAACCAAGATCTTGTTTTAGTGTAGAAAGCAATCAATTCATTAAATAAATTGGATAGAATTATTAAACTGGTTAACAATCAAGAAAAAACAAAATTTTAAATTTTATTATAGATAGTTAAATGCACATTGTTATTTATTATTTGTAAAATCGTCAAGTTGGGCCGCAAACTATTTCTCTTCTACCTTTTGGTTTTTTTCTAGGTTCTTCATGGTTTATATTGGTACTTTTTAATATTAGGCTTTATAAAGAAGAAAGAAGAAAATTTAAAGGTCAAATTCGGTGAGTGAGTTTATTCCAAAGAAAAGTACCAGAGAAACGAGGACAACTAGATGAAGCAACTGAACACATAAGTTTGGCTCATCAAGATATTGAAAATTTAAGAGAAGAATTAGCCATTGAGCAAGGTCATGCTCAAGTAATGGATGATTGATATAAAAGACAATTAGATGGTGGGAATGCCCAAAGAAGGAATAAAATTAATCAATGAAATGAAGAGCTGAAACAAGCCATTGAAAGCAAAAATAGTCGAGCAAGAAATAAATGACAACCAAAATAAAGATAGTCTAATTCAACAACTAACTAATGAAAACTGAAGTTTGCATCAGCAATTGAATGAAAAGAATGAAATAAGTGACTTGAAAAATGAGATGACAAATTTAAAGCAGGAAATTGAAAACTTAAAAAGAAATCATTGAATGAATGAGAAGAAAACTAAATGAAACAAAAGAGATTAACAGGTCATGAAAGCCAAGAACAGAGCAAGAAAGACGTGTTGGTTTTTTTTGCAGTATATTACATATTAATATTAATTTTATTAATTAATTATAAATCCTCAATTTTAATTATTAAAACAGCATTTTTGAATAATTTTTATTGTGTTTAAAGAAAGATTTGGCCAAAAGGTTGCAAGAAATTGTAAAATTACATCATCAGATGTCATTATACATGAATTATTATTATCATCATTATCTTTATAATTGTCACTAACATTCCCATCACTAATATCCATATAATCATTATTGTTGTTATCATCATCATAACTATCTAATGTCAATAATTCCTGCTTTTGATTTATTTTATTTTTTAATTCCATTACATAATTTTTAACTGTGGATATGGTATAATGATCAGGTATTTCATTATAATTGAGCCATAATGATAATTGACGTAGTAATTGTTTTTTATTTTCATTACCACCAAGTTCCTCATTACTGGGAAATTCCGAATTGCTTAAATAACATTTTATTAGTTGTACTAAATATTGTTGTTGTTTTTGATGATGATTTGGTTGTTGTTGATCAGTGATGTTAATATTCAAAGGACATGGCGAAAGAAAAAATGTGAAAGGAATTTCAAAGAATTGCTTTAATTTTAATTTTAATGATGCTTCAAATTCTTTATTAATAAGCCTTTTATCGTCACCCACTTCCTCATTATAATCATCTTTACCACCATTACTATCAATTCTATTACTAGCAATAATATCACCGTCAATTGTATTGATTTTTTTGGATGAGGAAATATTTTTTGCATTTTTATAATACTCTAGAATTAAAATTGCATTACATAAGTTACTTTCATTCAAGTGTTCCAAATTTTGTTGAATCTGATATAGTGCAAGATACATCTGAATTGCTTCTGGATTATCCAAATATAGACATTCTGTCAAAATTGCTGTGCAGAATGATGATAATTCACTCTCTACACCTGATGATGATGATGATGTATTTTCACACAAGTATTGTGTAAATGCTAAAACTTGCGGATCTGATGAAAATATTTTTATAAAATCATATTTATTCTCAATGGTAAGTTTTTTCTTGTTACCAATATACATACTACTACCTCCAGGAATTATTCGCGTAAATAAATTCCATATTCCTTGTGGATCCTATACATATACATATACATATTGTGTTATTATTAGTTATTTATTTATGTGTATATATTTATGATATCTTTACCTCTTGATAAGTTAAATGCCCTGTTTTCCTTTTTAAATGAATTGTAGGATTCCTCCAAAATCTTTTATCAAAATCTATATCTTTACCAAAGTTTAAATTAATAGGCCAATATCTTGGACTATTGATTTCAATTGTTTTGATAAATTTAGATTCAGGTAATAAGCATGGTGCAACAAATTCTTTTATCTTGATGTCTGCAACAATGTTACTAATAACCTCTTTCTCCTTGCTAACAATAATATTGTTTTCTCCTGCTCCTCTGCTTTTTTCTTTTGTTAACTTCACTTCTTTACTATTATAATAATCTTCAAATATTATTTTAATTGGTGCCTGGCATGCCTCTCTTGTTTCCAAGTCTCTCAAAACCAAACATCGAGGCTCAACTGCCAAAACCCATAAATGTCTAAAAGCTTGCAAATGGGCTCGGTTATCATATGGTTCTATTGGATACCTGGGAAACAAAGAACAAACCAATGCAGCAATTGCTTTGTTTGATGTTGAGAGTGTATAATGTCCACCGCCCAAAAACAAAAAACCCAATGCCATGCTTGTTACTGTGTAGGTACCATATGAATTTAGATTATGTGCTCCTGGAAGATTTACTTCTTGTCGATGCAATTTTCTTAATCTCCTTAGCACATCCAGATTACCAGTACCCGCTACTACTATTGATGTTGAAGTTGCCAATACATTTAAACATGATTTAATAGTGGATTTTGTAATCTTTTGATCAAATGTCATTGCTCTTGAATTGCTAAGACCTATGAAATAGTCAAGATAATGAATAAGACATTTTAATGCATTCTGGTCTGTTGAACCGGCAAATTTCAATGCCATACTAAAACAAGCACCAGCCAATATATTATAATAAGCTCTTTTAATCGGTTCCAAATTTAAATCAAAATCATCATTTTGATAATGACTACGATTATTTAATCTAACTTTCATATATTTAGGAACATGATTTTCGACCCAATTTTGTGAAGATCTAATATTATCCCACATTATTAAATTTCTAGCTAATATTCTAACCAATAAAAAATCAGGCCGTATATAGTCCAAGTAGAATTCTGTTTCGGGAATAGGAATTTTATTGGCTATGTTTAATTTATTTGTTTTCAAGTATAATAAACCCAGTGCTATTGTTGCACTTGGTGATGTCACATTAATGTTGTTAACATTGTTGGTGCTTCCTAAATTGCTACCTTCTGTTGATGAAGTTGATGAAGAAGATGAAGTCGCAGTTAGTTTACCACCTAAACCAGTAGCTAGAGCACCTCCACCAATATAATTATCACCATTATTCTCGCCACTACCTCCTTTACCATTAGCACCACTACTAGCACCACCAGTAATATAAAGTCTTAATTCTCTAGAAAGATTAAGATCAGCTATTCCATGTGCATCATCACCTTGACCCAAAGCAATAAATCCTAATGCAAATCCTGCAGCTAGTGAATAGCCTTCTGTATAATCTGTTTCAGAACTATTTGACCGTTTTAAAGCCTTGACACCAATTTCAGATAACATGATTTGTGTATTGTATCGATTACATGTGCCCATATACAACAACCCAATCCCGATTAATGAAGCAGTTTGAATCAATGGTGAAACATTTAGATAATTAGATTTTGGTGGTAACATTGAAGTAATATGGACAGCCAACATTCTTGTGATATCAGAATTCATTGTTCCGCAGTATGATGCTGGTAATCCGATGACTAATGCAATATTTGTCATATCATGTTTTGGTGATTTCATCAAATAGTCTACAGCTTGCCAGATTCCCATTGATTTCAAGTGACCATTAATTCCCAACCCCATAAGGAATCCTGCATGGCTGTTGTTAAGTTCCTTTGGTTTGTTGAGCTCAATCCATGAGCCAGTTACATCTTTGGAGGTGGGTGATATTCTTAAAGCAGATGCTACACCCTCATGAAATTCTGGCCATTCTAAACAGTCTTGTACACGAAATGCACGATCTATTTGTACAACAGTGTTGTATGGTAATACTTTCATGGTTGTATTTAGGCTTGGTATTGGAAAAATTTCAGTTGATATTGGAGTTGCTGTGTCGTATGTCATTATTCCACGACCTAGTGGTAATGCAAAATTTTTTATTGAGTGTGCTTGCACACGCTCAACAATTTGTGGTGATTGTTCTTCATTAGGGGAACTTTTTTTTTTGTTGATTGATTGAGTGGTTAAATAAGTAATTAATTAATATATTTGTTGAATAATAATAATTATAATTATTATAATTATTCTTTTGATGCTACCTTAGTTCAGAAGCAGGCAAATCAACCTTGACGATAGTAGTATTTTGTAAAAGACGACGAACTTCATCCAATCTCTTATCTTTACCAAATCTTAAATCAGTGATTTCATGATTTGAGATTTCCGTGCTGTCAACTTCGTCCAATGAAACACCTGGCCTTGGATGAAGAACTGTATCGATTATTTCTGCCTGGTACCTTGGTTTTGGTTCCCTTCTTACGCCTCTTGAATGTATGTAACCTATCGGTTTACCAAGTTCTAATTCCGCTAAATCTTCTCTACCTATAATTTTATTCATAACAATTTAATTTATTAATTGATTAATGATTAGTGATAATTAAAAGCGACAAAATGTTCCCATTCCAAAACCAAAAAAACTACCAATTAGAATGTAGGCATCAGCCGGCCAATTGCTCGGTGGCAGTTCTCGACATTTTCTAATAGCCTCATGTAAAGGAACAGAAACTCCAAATGGCAATGCTTCAATATCTTTGTGTTTAAATCCAATATCAACCATTTTCAATATCATTGATTCCACACCACCATTATTACTACCATTAATCAACTTATTATAGATCTTTATAATTTGTCTAGTTCTTAAACAACAGTCTACCTCATGTACCATATTATTAACGTCATCATCATAATCACAATCATTATTTTGTTGTAGATCTAGTAGTGCTGATGATAATAGTTTTGTAATATCAATTGGGCTTGGAAAGTATTTAAATTTTTTAGAACGGAATAAATTCATTAACCATTTGATTATGTCAGGCGGTGTATAGAATAGATGAGTTGGTTGTATTTTTGTTTCTTTAATCACTTCTACAAAATAATTAATAAAATTTTAAAAATTAAAAAATAAAGTAAGTTAATTAATTAATTAATTAAAAGTACCATTTATTAATTTTAAATGATTTTGAATTCCATAATATCTTTTATAATAATCAACATAATGATTCCAACCAAGAAATAATGCCAATTGAATTAACAAAGGTACAAGATCATTGATTAATTTTTGCGACAAAACATCTAATCTCATATCTTGATAAATCAAATGTAGTGAGAGCAGGATGTAGGGAAGAAAATCTGGAAATGATTGTTCTAGTTGTTCTATTTTTTGCTGTTGATGTGAGTTGGAAAAATGAAGTTTTCTAGATTTTTGAAATAGTTTATATAATAAATCATCTATTTCGATATCTTTTTCTTGTGTTGATTTTAATTGAGGAGTAGAGGGTGAGGTTGGTGGTGGTTTTAAACATTTGAAATGGGTGTTGAAATTGAATTTTTTATGATCTGTGGTTGACAATAGAAAATCCCAACCATCCAATTCTTTTATCTTATTATCACCATTATCAATGTCATTATTGTCAATATCAATGTCACCATCAATTTCAATGTTGAAATTTTTGTTATTATACATGGAGCTGAAAAATGAGAAAAGTATAATAACAAAATTTTCCCATTCAGTATTATTTTCTTTTAGTGAAGATGAATTAGTATCAAATCTTCTGAATTGATAAGTAAGATAACGAGCTTTGAAAATAAAAAATATTTTTGTGGGTAGAGCATAACTAAGCGCCTCTAGACAATTACGAACTAGTAATGAGTTGGGAATAAAGTTGAGGTCTGCTCGTAGACAAACATGATTATTGAGAACTATATTTACACGATGTAGAACATTGTCTTGGATGTCAATTATATCTTTTGTTGTTATGTTTAAATTTACTTTGTAATTCAAATCACTCGATGATGATGATGATGTATATGAGGATGTAGATGAGGAGAACACGTTTTTGAGATTATCTTCTTTCTTTTTTGATAAAACAAAGTACACAAAGTTTTCTATTGATGGATCAATAACAGAATTAATATCTTGATTATAATCATTTGTTTTACTAATATTTGAAGCATTTGAAAGGTATGGCGATGATGACAATGGTGATGATGATGAGGCATTGGTACTAGTATTAGCTAATGAATCAACACAATTATTAATTTCAGAGTGATTAAGTATTGATGTTGAATTGAGATTCTTAATTTTTGATGAATTAGAGTTGAGTTTTAGTATAGTGTTTAGATGATAATCCAGTTGTAAAAGAACATATTCGCCACAACCAATCCATAGCTCAAGCATGTAACTGTCATCGTTAATTTTTTTCAATAATAAAACATCACAAAGCAATGATCTAGTTGCATAAACAGGTTCAGCAGCAATTACATTATTTAACTCAAAATTTGGTGTTATTTCCAGTTCATAACAGCTGCCATCACTGGAGAAATTATTAGATATCAAGTTAAGAGCTTTGAATTTATTATTGATTGATTGTTGCTTTTGTTTTTGTTGTAAAAATAAACATAGGATTTCATGACCATCAAATTCATGAGCAATGAATACTTTGCTATTATGCTCTTCTTCATTCTCATTCTCCTCAATGCATGGCTCACTGTTATCAAGAATAAACTTTTAATAAATTAAATTTGAAAAAGATTATTCAACATAACAATAATAATAACAAAATTTACAATAAACAAAAATATAAATAAATAAAAATAAATAATTGTATAAAAATGATAATTACATCTTGTATATCAATAATATCTTCAGTCCATACAAGCTCAATGTACACTTCAGCTTTATCATTTACAGCAGTAGCAGTAGCAGCAACAGCAGCAGCAGCAGCAGCAGCTAAATTTTCTTTTTTAACAATATATCTATATACAGAATGTCGTAAAGTAAATTGATTCAAAGTGACTATTATATGATTACCATTTTCACATTGATCATTAACAAACACTATATGTTCATCAGGATATGTGAATAGAAATTTGTGACCTGACAATTTAATATTTGAACCATCATAATAAATTTTATCAACTATTGAAACAGGTTTTATTTCTTCTAAAGGATCTAGTAGACTGTATAAAGTTGGTAAATGCAACTTTGCAAATTTTGAATAATTTATATAGTCTCTAGTATGATAATGGTAATAATCATCATTTTCATCAATATCTTTATGTTGACACTGGAATAATACTCCTAGATTCATTGCCCAAGCTTTTTTTACAACAAAGGGAATTCTTAATAGGAATTGTTGACCATCTAGGAAGTAGACTTTAGCAGAATTTTCAAGAATTACAAACAGACAACGTTGCCTACCAGATAAATCTTTGTTGTGATTGTTGTTGTTATTAGTGGAAGTTGTAGTATAATTATTAGATTGTTGTCGTTGATCTACTTTAAACCAAACGAATAAAGCTTGAATTACAGGCTCATCATATTTAAAACTTTTGTATAATACATTGCCTCTACTCCAAACAACTATTTTATTTGAAACATAAATTTCTTCATCAAAATCCTCCTGTTCTTCATTGATCTTATTAGTAGAAGGATTGAATCCACTATATAATCTATAAGTATCATTTGAATTATTATTATTATTATTGTTATTATCAGAATTTGTACCAAAAGGAATAAATTCACCCAAAACGCATATTTCCATTTCTATTGAGATTATTCTTCAATAAAATAATAAATTTGAAGATTAAAAATATTATCATCACGTGAAATCGTAATACGAATGTCTAATTGTAATTGATTGGTTGAAAATCGTAAATAAAATGAAAAAGTAAAAATGACAAAAATTTTTTTTTTCTTTCTTTCTTTAACTTGATCTTAGTCTGATGATTCCAAAGTTAATATTAATAAAAACGAAAGAATCACATGATCAAAATCAATCCAAGATATTAGAGGAATTTAAATAAGAGAAATGATGACTAGAATTTTTCTTTAAATGATTTTTTACAAGTTTTCAGATGATAACTATGAAAAATTATTTAGAAAAATTAACTGATTCTCTTTGTTTTTAATCTTTCCTTTAAAGTCTTCTCCCATTGGATTATTTACACACTATAATACTTTTGCATGAATAAAAAATACAATTTATTAATATTGTGCACATTTTATTTAAAGCTTGCTTTATCATTTATTAAATTTCTTTAATTCTATAATTTGCTTCTTCCATCTACTTGCAAAGACCATTTATGGTATGTCAATGATGAGTCATCTTTTTCAAAACTTTTACATATTCAATCAATCAATCTCAATATTTCTTGATTATCATTTTTATTTTATTTTAAAAAAATTTTGCTCAAATCTCATTATGGACAATTAATCTGCCTTGATTATAACAATCAAACAATTAGGTATATTTTCACCTTTGGCAAATAAATAATAAATAATAGTATTTATTCATGGCAACTTCTCTAACTTGTATATATTCAATGATTTTTAGGAAGTTGAATGTGATAAATTTATTATTCTAATTACTGACTATTCTAGAAAACGTTAACTTCCTGGTCTACAACATATTAAATATTAATATTATTGTGAAACTGGACAGTATAAAAAAATCTATTTACACCGCTAAAAAACTATTTTACTATTCAACAAAATCAATGGATATAACGTATTCATAAAGTTATGACCATATTGTACTAAGTTTTGGGGTTCAAGCAAAATCAGCGCATATGAGTCTCCATAATGATTACAAATATCCAAAATAGTTGCGAGTGTCCATAATGATTGATCAAGATTAATTACGAGTATTCATAACGGTTACGAGTATCACAACGATTATGAGTGTATATAAAATTTTTTCTTTGTTGTCCATAATGATTATGAGGAATTATGTGTTCCATTGTTCCAGTGTTTATTTTATTCGTATAATAATAATAACGATAAAACAATGCGAGTATAAAAATCTTATTTCTTTCTGATTTCTACAAATTCAATTTTATCAGAATAGAGAGCCTTAAAATTTCGCAATCTAACGAGTGTTTCCCAACATTTTTCACTGTTTGGAATTCTTAAATCCCGAGCTTCTGTTTTAGCATTACCGAATCCTTTTTTAGTTGTACATTATTTACATTTTACCTTTATCTTTTTATCAGTATAAACAAATTCATGGAATTTAGTTTTCCGCCAAGTTTTCTTGACATTTAAAAAAAGTAACCCAGAATAATCATTGGAACACTGGAATGTGAAAATTCCAGTGTTCCAATGTATCGCATAATATCCCTTGTTCCATTGAATGTTACAAATAATTATGAATACTCGAATATTCGTAAATAAATAATATACGTAAATAAATTAATATTGAGGTTAAGAACACTGGTCACGTGGACTTCCTTGTCGTGTCGTTTTATTTCGTCGATTTTGTTGTTAATATCGACAACATTTGAAGTAATGATAACGTTGTTTCATCATTATTATTGATTTACAGGATATTAATAATAATTTCCATTAAGATAAAAGCTAATTTGCGCGATAATTTGGATGCTCAATTTTGACTTGTAAACAATTAATTCAGTCCTTTTGATGATTCCATTCTAGTTTACGAACTTTTGGATGATTCACAGAATATGAAAATTTACCGGACATATTTATAGTTTTTCTTGATGAATCGATTGATTTTCACACATTAAAATTTAAAAACTGAACTTTATACCTTGGATTAAGCTTTTTTACAAAATATTGTAGATGTTATCAAAGGATTAAGTGAGTTTGCTCCTTATTATTGTGAAAATAGTTATTTTCGATTTAACAAACAAAATTTTTACTAAAAGCCAAAAACCTTTTTGTTCACCAACAATAAATTTTTATTATTATGTACTGTATAGGACGAAGATCAAATCAACGTTGTTGTAGATTTATGATATGCTAATTCAATCCCACGACCTCTTACTTCACATATTCCTTTATATATATATATATATATAGCCACAAATGTAGCTTCTTTTTTATATCGTTTTCTATTATTTCACGTCTGTTATAACAATGCTTACGACACCCTCACTCCTTCTGTCAAAATTACTATTGTTATTTCTTCATATCCATCATCATATAGTCAACATCATAATAAGTGTATAATAAATGTGGTTATCAACATTACAATCTCCATTTCCATTATCCTCTTCAATAAAATCAGATTCATAATATAATGCATGTTAAAGTGACAACAGTGTATTGGATGAAGATGAATAAAATCATTGTCATTGTTGTTGTGATCGGGCGGCGGCGGCGGTGGAATTTGTAGAAGACATGGATAATAATAATTATTATTATTAAGAGAACAGGGCGCAAAAGATATAATACAAGAAAATTATAAACCCTTCAAACGAGAAATACTTAAAGGTCAAATGGGAGATTTGTTATTAGAATTATTATTATTTAATGATAAATTTTTTTATCGATAACAATAACAATAATAATAATTGTTTCACAATCTAATAACATTTTCGACACGTAAAAAAATTATTATTAGATAAAAACAAATGTATAAATAACTTGGATTTTTCCCTACTTTACAAAAAAAAAAACTTTTTTGAAAAAATTAAAAACAAATAAAAATAATAAAAATACATTTTTTTTTCTAAAGGTGACTGACAAACGAAAAAAGAATAATAATAATATAATTTAGACATGTCAATTTCAAAAACTTCCTCACCGGTCAACTTTAACATAAATGATGATAACACCCGAGAAGAAACCACTCCAAGAAACACTTTAAATAATATTTATAACTACAACTACTCTTCACCACCACCACCACCACCATCATCACCACCGCTACCACGATGGCTCCTAGAACGAGTACACCACCGCTATAATAATAATAACAACAATAACAATATTATTTGTTCATTATCACCATCTTTACAAACATTTTCATTTCCACCACCTTCAACTTCACAAATAGAATTTTATTCTCCCCCACCTCCACCCCCACCTTCATCTCCACCCCCACCCCCACAATTTCATCCAATACCCCAACCAACTTCTACTCCACCACATTCAAGCAACACTAATAATAATAATAATAACCTGTTAACTCCATTGTCACATTCTGATGAACTAAGACAACAACAACAAGCATTGCAAATCTACAACACACCAGAATATATTATTAGTAGCCCACAATTATTCTTGTCAATTAAACATATAAGTCCACCTGGTACAAATTCACCATCCTACTCTCCCATCTCAAATCCATCCTACTCTCCATACTACTTCCATCACTCAACTACAAATTCCTCATCACCATTTCCTATTTGTTGTCAGTGTCTTTTTTGTATAGAAGCCGGTACAAGTGGCAGTGATGATAGTACTTGTGTTGGCAGAAGTGGTAATTGTTATCAAATCGGAGAATGTTCAGATTATTCAGATTATGATGACAATAGTAGTTATAGCCATAGAAGATATAATGAATCAATGGATGATAATTATAATTACGATAGTGACTATGATTATGATAATAATGAGTATGATTATCAAGAAGAGGAAGAATTTTTAAGTTCACCTTATAAATCTCAAGAAAGTACACCGTTGGTTTATCATCATCATGATATTAACGGTAGATCACCATCATCGTTGGGAGCTTTCACGCCTATAAATATGGGAGGGATTAGTCCAGTTAATATATATGGATCACCAATGGCTGCTAATGGAAATTCATCATCATCCTCCCCCCCTTCTTCATATAAACAACAGCAACAACAACATTTATCATCAACAATGTCATATCCTTTAGCAAGAGAAGTGAGATATAATAATAATCGATTTTCCAGTTCTTTTTATAATAGAAATGGCAAAGAAGAAGAAGAAGAAGAAGGTGAAATTAGTCATAATGTTAATGTCAATGGAGGTGACATTGTTAATAAAATCGATAATGATAATAAATGTGAAGACAAGGACGAATGTGATATAAAGTTAAAATCACCATCAAAACAATTAAAATCTTCTAATTAGGATTTAGAATATATTGTATCAAACTAATAAAATTTTTTTAAATCATGAATTAGATAAGTATAGGATGTGGAATGAATAATATATATTTATATAATTTATATCAATTGATTTCTTAAAAGCGGATGACAACAAGTAAGGAGAGGAAAAAAATAGAAAAATCTTATTTAGTATAATAATAGTAATTTTTTTTACAAATAAATAAATATCTATTCTAATGAAGTAGTTGTCCTTGTCCATGTGATACTATTATCAATTTTACCTTTTCTCTCAACATTACAAGTTAAACAATTACAACTTTGATTTCCATAATAATGATGTATTTTTCAACATCTCATACAAAATCTTCTTATCGATTAATATTCTGAATCAATCATCATCATCATATTGTTACAAACAAAATAAATATAACTGTTTACCAAATCAGTTAAAAAAGTCATCTAACGTTGATTGTTGATTTGAATCAAATTCTATTTTTCAATTTTTCTTTTTAAAGTTTTTTTTTAATGGTTTAATTTCATTGCAACTTTTCAGATCGTTGGTCAACGTATATGTTTAATTTTCTATTGTTAATAAATCTCAGGAGTTGTTTATGTGATAAACAGATTGTGGAACAATTTTAAGAAAACAACGTGCAATTTCATTGCTGAACGAATTCAAAAAAAAAATTATGAAAAAAATGAAAAAAAAAACTCTAGACAATTTTTTTTTTACATGAATTGGCTCCCTTTCGAAGCTGAATTGAATGTTTGTGGTTTTTTAAAAATCCAACATGTGGATCACATGATATTTCAAATTTTTTAACTTTTGTATAGATGATCCGCACTGTAATAACTGTTATTACCAGAATTAAAATTTAATTTAAAACATTTACAAAAAAAAATTAATAAAATACATTTTGAAAGTAAATAAATAATCAAAACAAAATTATTAACTGAATATTTTATTCTTTTGCTTTCCTGATAGACATATTATTATTATCATTATTATTATGAAACTGACATACTAGATAATATTGCCTGGGTTTCAATTACCTAAAAAATGACAAGGTATTAACATGCCAAAAATTAATTAACCCAATCAACAATTACAATGAGAATAAATTCATACAATTATAATAGCTATTTATATACTAACCTCAATGGCTTGTTTGATTTCTAAATGATTTCTGGCAGCCTTTAACCAATCTTCTGCCAATTTTTTAGGCCAACCGACTAATTGATTTAATTCACGTGTTGCATTATCTAAATCATTACTGTCAAGGTAATATTGAGTTCTGGCCAATATTGCCTCAACATCATTTCCTTCAACTAATCCATGTTTATGGAATAACAGCCTAGATAATATATGTGATAGCAAATGTGCAAACACTCCTCCTCCTTCTTCTGGTATTAAAGATGCGCGTCTAATCGCTTGTTTAACATTATTAAATCTGTTTGATAAGTTGATTGTTGATTCTATTCCATTGCTGCTGATTGAATCATCTATGGTTGATAAAACTGTGACGATCACCTCATCGCCTGATCCTATCTTCTTCAGCGTTGCTATCTCATTGCTGAACGGTCTCTTATCGCCATCAAGTTTACCATTAATAATTTCTTGGAATGATTTTAATGCACGCCATAATTTATGTGCTTTCAGACTTTTGTCTAAATGTTCTGCATTGTCAGCACTTAATTGGATAATAATAATTATTATTATTAAGAGAACAGGGCGCAAAAGATATAATACAAGAAAATTATAAACCCTTCAAACGAGAAATACTTAAAGGTCAAATGGGAGATTTGTTATTAGAATTATTATTATTTAATGATAAATTTTTTTATCGATAACAATAACAATAATAATAATTGTTTCACAATCTAATAACATTTTCGACACGTAAAAAAATTATTATTAGATAAAAACAAATGTATAAATAACTTGGATTTTTCCCTACTTTACAAAAAAAAAAACTTTTTTGAAAAAATTAAAAACAAATAAAAATAATAAAAATACATTTTTTTTTCTAAAGGTGACTGACAAACGAAAAAAGAATAATAATAATATAATTTAGACATGTCAATTTCAAAAACTTCCTCACCGGTCAACTTTAACATAAATGATGATAACACCCGAGAAGAAACCACTCCAAGAAACACTTTAAATAATATTTATAACTACAACTACTCTTCACCACCACCACCACCACCATCATCACCACCGCTACCACGATGGCTCCTAGAACGAGTACACCACCGCTATAATAATAATAACAACAATAACAATATTATTTGTTCATTATCACCATCTTTACAAACATTTTCATTTCCACCACCTTCAACTTCACAAATAGAATTACCCATGAGTTGTCGTACCATAAAAGACGGCGAAGAGTGTACAGAAAGAACTGATATATTTGTTTATGGTA